ACATGTTTATCTCAATAGACACAGAGAAGGCATTTGACATCCAACATCCATTTATGACAAAAACTCTCAATAAAATGGGTAGAAGAAAGGTACCTCAACATAATAAAGGCCATATATGACAAACCTATAGCCAACATCATACTCAATGGTGAAAGACTGAAAGCCATTCCTCTGAGTATAGGAATAAGACAAGGGTGCCCACTCTCACCATTCCTATTCAATACAGTCCTGGAGGTTTTGGCCAGAGCAATTAGGCAAGAAAAAGATATAGAAGGTATCCAAATTGGAAACGAAGAAGTGAAACTCTTGCTGTTTGTGGATGACATGATCCTATATATAGAAAACCCTAAAGAATCCACCAGAAAACTATTAGAAATAATCAATAACTACAGCAAAGTTGCAGGGTACAAAATCAACTTACAAAAATCAGTTTCATTTCTATACACCAATAATGAACTAGCAGAAAGAGAACTCAAGAATACAATCCCATTTACAATTGCAACAAAAAGAATAAAATATCTAGGAATAAATTTAACCAAGGGGGTGAAAGACCTATACCCTGAAAACTATAAGACATTATTGAAAGAAATCAAAGATGACATAAAGGAATGGAAAGATATTCCATGTTCATGGATTGGAAGAATAAACATAGTTAAAATGTCCATATTACCTAAAGCAATCTACAGATTCAATGCAATCCTAATCAGAACCCAATGACATTCTTCATGGAAACAGAACAAAGAAACCTAAAACTTATACAGAACAACCAAAGACCCCAAATAGCGAAAGCAATCCTGAGAAAAAAGAACAAAGCTGGAGGCATCACAATCCCTGTATTCAAAATATACTACGAAGCTATAATAATGAAAACAGCATGGTACTGGCACAAAAACAGACACACAGATCAGTGGGACAGAATTGAAAGCCCAGAAATAAAACCACACATCTGCAGACAGCTAATCTTTGACAAAGTAGCTAATAACATACAATGGAGAAAGGAAAGTCTCTTCAAAAAATGGTGCTGGGGGGCTGGCCCAGTGGCATAGCCGTTAAGTGCGCGCGCTCCACTGCGGTGACCCAGGGTTCGCAGGTTCGGATCCCAGGTGCGCACTGATGTGCCACTTGTCAAGCCATGCTGTGTCAGCGTCCGATATAAAGTAGAGGAAGATGGGCACGGATGTTAGCCCAGGGCCAATCTTCCTCAGCAAAAAGAGGAGGATTGGTGATGGATGTTAGCTCAGGGCTAATCTTCCTCACCAAAAAAAAAAAAAAAAAAGGTACTGGGAAAACTGGACAGCCACATGCAAAAGAATGAAAGTAGACCATTATCTTACACCACACACAAAAATTAACTCAAAATGGATTAAAGTCTTGAACGTAAGACCTGAAACCATAATACTCCTAGAATAAAATATAGGCAGTATACTCTTTAACTTTGGTCTTAGCAGCATCTTTTCAAATACCATGTCTACTTAGGCATGGGAAACAAAAGAAAAAATAAACAAATAGGACTACACCAGACTAAAGAGCTTCTACAAGGCAAAGGAAACCATGAATAAAATGAAAAGAGCACCCACCAACTGGGAGAAAAGATTTGCAAGTCATATATCTGACAAGGGGTTAATTTCCAAAATATATAATAACTCACACAATTCAACAACAAAAAAATAACCTGATTGAGAAATGGGCAGAGGATATGAACAGACATTTTTCCAAGGAAGATATACAGATGCCCAACAGGGACATGAAAAGATGTTCAACATCACTAATTATTAGGGAAATGCAAATCAACACTACAATGAGATATCACCTTATACCTGTCAGAATGGTTATAATTACCAAGACAAAAAATAACAAATGTTGGAGAGGATGTGGCGAGAAGGGAACTCGCATACACTGCTGGTGGGAATGCAAACTGGTGCAGCCACTATGGAAAACAGTATGGAGATTCCTCAAAAAATTAAAAATAGAAATACCATATGATCCAGCTATCCCACTTCTGGGTATTTATCCAAAGAACTTCAAATCAACAATTCAAAGCAACTTATGCACCCCTGTGTTCATTGCCACATTATTCACAATAGCCAACATGTGGAAGCAACCCAAGTGCCCATCAACGGATGAATGGATAAAGAAGATGTGGTATGTTTATACAATGGAATACTACTCAGCCATAAAAAAAGGCAAAATCGTCCCATTTGCAACAACATGGATGGACTTGGAGGCTATTATGTTAAGTGAAATAAGCCAGACAGAGAAAGAGAAACACCACATGATTTCACTCATATGTGGAAGATAAACAAACACATTATTTGTTTAAAGAGAACAGATTAGTGGTCACCAGAGGGTAAGGGGGTTGAGGGGCGGGCGAAAGTGGTAAAGGGGCACATATGTATGGTGATGGATTAAAAGTAGACCACTGGTGGTGAGCACATTGCAGTCTATACGGAAACTGATAAATAATAATGTACACCGGAAATCACACAATGTTATAAGCCATTACTACCTCAACAAAATAAAAATAATAAAGATTATGTGTCTGAGCAACCAAAAAAAAAAAATGCAACACTAAACAGGTTTGTCCATGCCTCTTTTAGGAATTGCTTCTCCAGGATATATTCTGCATTTTATTTACGTATAAGGCTGTTCTGGTTATGGAGCATTTTAAATTATTATTTATAATTCGAGTATCGAGCACAGAAAGTCTTTCACAGTTAGACGACCATATTGATAAAAAATGTTATTGATAGATATTACGGGTCTGAATGCTAAGTGCACATTCTTAAAACCAAACCATATTTGTAAGCCCAGTAGCATTGGAATATTCATCACATGTAATATTTATAGAGGCGAATCACAAATAATTTGTCATTCCTAACTTATTGACTATTTATGATCTCACCTTTTAGTAAACTGATATTCCTTTCTTTAACATATCCATAGTGTGCCTTACTTAACCAGTGTTTTATTCTGAGAATGATCTCATTAAATTCTCCTATAAAAGTTTGGGTTAATTAATTACTTAATTGAACATTAATTTTTGAGAAGCTGCATGTAGCCAATACTACTCTGGGCACTGGTGGATATAGAAATTAACAAAACGCACAAAAATCATTACCCTCGTGAAGGGTACTGAGGGGACAGAAAATAAAAAATGAACAAGTAGAGCCAGCCCAGTGGCATAGCAGTTAAGTTCGTGCACTCAGTTTCAGCACCCAGGGTTCCCGGGTTCAGATCCTGGGCGCAGACCTACTCACCGCTCATCAAGCCACGCTGAGGTGGCATCCCACATAGAGCATGTAGAAGGACGTACAACTATGACATACAACTATCTACTGGCACTTTGGGGAGAACAAAGGAAAAAAAAAAGGAGGAAAATAGGCAACAGATATCAGCTCAGGGCCAATCTTCCTCAAAAACAAAAACCAACCAGTAAATAAATTCTTTGGGGAAAATAAAGTGGGGTAAGAGGATGGAGAATTTGGGGGGGCTGGAATTTTCAATAGGGTGGTAGGGGGAGGCCTCACTGAGAAGGCAGTGTCCAATCACCCCGTGAAGGAGGTCAGGGAGCACAAGCAACATGGGGTTGGAACACATTATAGGCAGAGAGGACTGCAGGTACCAAGGCCCAAGGCAAAAGTGTGCTTGGCAATTTGTCCAAACCACGAACGCCTTATCCCAGTCCTCCGCCCATTAAACCCTGCAGCCTTCCTCGCTATGAGACCGTCTCTATTGACTTATTTTTTAACTGGTGATAGCTCTGCACTGGCCTCCACAGGACTCGCCCTTGTCTCAACCTGTCCAGGAATGCAGCAAAGCAGTTAGGAGCCGAGCAGCACAGGCGGGTAGCGCCAGGCTGCCCCCCAGTTTTCCCGGATCCTTTGCGCCCTACTCCCCCACGGCTTTGTTTGCATGTCTTTCAAGATCGGTTCACAACCTGCCCCGCCCTGCGTCAGCCACCTACGTGGGGAGGTCTGTCCTTCCAATATGCGAGCCGTCAGCTCTTCGAATACGGCTGGGACGAATCGGATGGGCTGTAAGTATAAAATGCTAGATTTCCAAGAATTCATGCCCAAACTGTAAAACATCTCATTTAATAATTTTACAACACTGCTTACAGGTTGAAGTGATGATATATTGTATTAAAGTATGTTATTGCTTAATTTCACTAGTTTTTCATTTTTTAAAACGCAGCTATGAGGACATTTAAATGAGACACGCGGCTGGCATCCTGCTTCTTTGGACAGCGCTGGACGGACGCTCAGGAGACGGCGTTCCCTCCCCGAGGCAGCGCAGGGCAGGCAGCGGCAGTTCCGCGGCGGCACAGGAGCGCCGGGACGGGCTAGGACGGCGGGCGCGACCCGCAGAGGCCCGACGAGGAGCTCCCGTGGCCAAGGGGACTGACGGCGGGGCCGGCGAGGCTCCGCGCGGGCGGGAGGGCGCAGGCGGCGGCTTCGCGCGGGGACGCGGCCGAGCGAGGCCGTGGGGCGTGCTCGGCGCAGCCTGTGGCTCCGCCTCTTTGCGGCAGAGCTCAGGCCGGTGCAAACCGGCTCAGTGCCCTGACGGACATCTCGCGCCAGCCACTCCTCCGTGTGTCCCCACCTCCCCAGCTCTCGGAGGGAGACCGAGAACATCGAGCGGCCAGCGTCCCCGGAGGCGGCCCTGAACCAGACGGACTGTACTGATAGCCAATGATAACTGCCGCTGGCGCCGCAGGCCGGCCGGCGACCAATGGCGTGGGTGCAGGGGCGGGCCCTCGCTAGCCCC